CAAAAGGTGTGCTATTGTTGTGGTTCAAACCAACATAACCTGGCTATTTGTCCCAACACTGAGAAGAAGGACGAGTTGATGAACTCATTCTCTCACATGGAGGACACTATGCGCAAGTGCTTCACCGAGGACGACAAGGCAATCATCCGACGTGATGTTGAAAGCCGAAAGAGGAAAGCAAAGTCATCCAAAGACGTCGAAGACGAGGACTACATGGATGTGGATGATGAAGATATTGAACTTCCCGAAGAAGAGCCGGAACTAGGAGGTAAGGTACCACCTCACTCTCCGAGAGCCAAAGGTAGACCACAATCGTCAGACTCTGCAAAAGAGGAATACGCGAAAGCGGTCGAGGCAACCAAGAAGGCCTTTGGGAACGCCAGTTTCGTCACCAGATTCAAAGAGCCCGTCGACCTCTTTGACATTGCCGATGACAAAGAAGGAGGAGAGTACAGGGTCGCAAATCACAGGGTTGATAGATCAGGTCCTAATGGAAAGTGGGAACTTGATGCACTTATTCAGGAGGCTGCAGCACTCGGAATAAAGATGCCCAAAGTGAAGGACCTTGCTCCTGACCCACAACAAGTTCAAAAGGTTGGATATCGGCAGATTGAGGTGACTTGCGATAGAGGAAGCATCGAGATCATTCCACAGTATGGAGTTACATTCTATGTGGAGTACTGGAATGGACCGAAGAGAGATGCAACTTTCACGGATCCACCAAAGATGAACCCAGCAACTCGCATCGACAAGTTCAGCGAGGAGAGTCAGAGGGTCAACGAGATTAGCCATAGACTCAATAGACTACTCAGGCATGGAGTGGGAAAGCATAATGGGATTCAATCGCACCGCGGTCGAAAACCTCATGTGTCCCCGAAGTGCAATGAGGGTGGATGGGTGAACATCGATGAGATCCTGGAATATGACCATGTCTTCAACGATGGTGTCGATATCAGTACTATCTCAGATGATCAACGTGAGCAAGATGTCAAGACAGAGCGATACCAGGATTTATGCAAGGCGATGTGGCATGCAAAGAAGTTGCAGAACAGAGTACGCTATCAGATTGCCGCCATTCGTATCTCAAGGGAGGATGTCTCACTCGAAGAGGAAAGGCAATACTGGGCAAACCTCATGTATTACAGCACAGATGCACCGTCATTTCTGAAGCATGAACGTTGGATCGTTCCTTGTGCAATTCGAGCTGTTGCCTCTCACAATTCTGGAAGAGAGACTGTTCTTGAAGAGGATGTGTCAATATATCCTGTGTGGACTTCACATCTCATTCCAGAGAATGTGGCAATGCAGCTTGGAGGAAGCTTTCACATGACATCGCTTTCCAATATTGAGTCAATCATGAAACTAGGAATTGTCCCTGGTGGAACGGAGGGATATAGAGGTAGTGTTTTCTTCAACCACTTTGCGCCGTGGGATGATCGATCATCAAAGATTCTGAGATCAAGATGGCCAAGAGTGGGAATGCCCGTTTGCCTTTATGTTCCAATCATGACTTTGAGGAAGCTTGGGGGAAGAATTTCGGAGAATTCCTACACTGTTGTTTTTAGAGAAGTTCCATGGAGATGTGTACGAGGTGCTTGGTATTGGGACGACTACGTTCAGGCATGGAGGAGACTCCTGCTGGGAAGCACTGGAGAGCAAGTTGTTCTAGCGGCATGTCATGGACTTTGTGTTGCTCAGAAGCATACCATCCTCGAGAGAGCCGACGAAGTCACGAAGTCAGCCTCGGCGACAGATGACAACGTCCAAAAGCTCGTGTCCCTTATCGATGAAGTACAATTCGATGACAATGGAGAGCTGATCGAGGATTCCATCAGTGAGGAAACTTGGGACGAAATCATCTCCAGAACATGTGAAGGGTATCGCAACGTGGATGGCAATATTTTGTGTCCATCATGTATGCATTTGACTTCTTCATCTTTGTCCGTGTGTCTATCTTGTCAAGGCAGGCTACTCTCGTGTGGCATTCGCAACACTGTCATTTCCGATTCACCCGTTGATCTCGTGAGCGACGATGAAGAGGAAAAGAAGGAAGAGAAGGAGCCTGAAGATGATGATCAAGATATATTGGACCAGGCCACTATGGACGAGATCAGAAAGGCTTGGGAAGAAGACATCGCTCAAACTGAAGCAGCTGACGACGACGAGGACATGGACAATCTAGATCCTTCCAAACCGTCTGATGGTGCAGAAAACTTCAAGAGTGACAATGTCGAGACCCCATCTTTCAATGAGGACGAGATCGACTACGGTCGTGATTCTGATCTAGAAGATGAAGACGAACGAAACGTGATCATCGAGATCCAGAGGAGCACACAACAATATGAGGGGAAGAAACGTCAAGATGGTGAGCCCGAGGATGAAGACGTCACCGACGACTTACATCCGGAGGCGAATCGACCGACAGATCGTGATGAACCGGGATACTATGCACAGCATGGAGCGACCGAGTTCAATCCCGAAGAAGGAAGAGACAACGAAGATCTCCCCATCTATTGTCGAGTACCGGAACCTCGAATCTATGCGCATCAAGAGAGAGCCTACTGTCAGGACGTCTCCATGAATGCATCGGGTTTGATGGATAGGTATGTGGTCAAATGTGTGCTGAACATGATCTCCCTGATGTACAAGAGCTACTATTGCACCAGCCTTACCGACTTCAAAGCAAATTGGAAAAGGAAGCGACTGGATGTGATAAGTAAGTTCGGTACAGAGGATTTCACTGAAATCGATGACGATGGGAGACCATTGGATCCAACAGATGACATGATGAGAATCTTTGCTAACGAAAACAAGATTACGATTGAGGAGGCCTGGCACCCATTCAGAGGAGAGCAATTCATTTGCAAGGTGGCACTCGTGATCCTATCATTTGGTCATACTCCGTACTCCTTCAAGAAGGAATATGGCAACTTCGAATACTCCACCAACTTGACTGACGTCCAGCTTGAGGAGTTGAAAGCGAAGAAAGCCAGCGCAATGACTGAATTGGTACAGAAGTGCATCCATGCGATTTATGGTTGTCGGACATATTCTTACTTTAGAACCGACGTTACATCACCCAACCACAAGGTGATCGATCCTCTGGACATCATGTACTCGAGAATGAAGAGCAAATGGGAGAAGTCTATTCTGCTGATCATTGATCAACATGAGATCAGGTTGCCCCCACACGCTCAGAATGTCGTAGAGTCAATGGCCAGAAATCCCAACATTGGACATACAGAGAGATGGATGAGCGTGGTAGAACAGAAGCATGTTCAAGCTCTTACCGATCGTCTAGGCTTTGGAGATAGGGCCAAGGAGATTCAGGGCAAGAAGAAGCAGGCAGCCAAGGCAACAGCTAAGTCAACATCAACGACTAAGTCTGAAGCGAAAGCAGCATCTTCGTCAAGAGCTGAGGCAAAGCCAGCATCTACACCCAGAACCGAGGCCAAGCCGTCGTCAGCACCAAGTGAGGAGCCAAAACCTTCAACAGCACCTAAGAGTTTCGGGCCCTCATCAGCAGATGAGAACAAGGCGAAGGCTGCTCCAAAAGCCAGACCACATGATAAATCACCATCCAGTGCTACCGGTGTGTTTGAGCAAGCTTTGCAGGAAGATCTTGCCGCCAACGCACATGCAGCAGAAGGTACAACTTCTTCATCATCCCGAGGACATTCCAAAGGAGGAGGCCAATCTGGAACATCTTGGAGACCGGCGCTAACGCAAGAACGTCGCGAAGTACCTCAACCTTCTGAAAAGGGGAAGGGAAAGAGCAAGTCCAAGGGAAAGTCCAAGAAGGGAGAAGATGATCGGCGGGATGCTCAGGGCAGCTGGGATCATAGTGGATGGAGAGGTTATCGCCAGTGGTGATTTCTTTGAACGACTATGAGGATACCATGCAAACCAGGGAGGAAGTCATTCACCGGATGTCTATCTGATCTGAAACGCTGTAAGTGTATCATTGCAAATCATCGGATTGACGATTTGATACCATGAGCATAATGGAAGGCAGACAGTCACCGACTGTCTCTCCGACTTGCCGTTCTGTAAGTGTATCCAAACCAAAACCTACATCTTTTGAGAAGTGTGAAGTCAGTTGCCGATGTGACATCTACGTGGAAGTCACCAGTTCGGATCTACATCAAAGCGATGCTCTTTTGAGTGGATACTGAGCGAGGCCTCGTGACTGTCTCACTTGTTCAATTCGATTTTCATAGGTTCTGAGCCATAGTTGCACACTTTATATGTAAAAGTCCGCTTTAGTCCAGCATGTTTCGTAGTATGAGCCTCATATGAGTCTCGCGGCAAATCATACAATTTCTTTTGTAGCACTTACATCCCTAAATTTTCGTGTGTGATCGGAACATATTGTTGCCGTTCACATGGGGGGTGCGAATGGAAGTGCAGCGACACGTACATATATATGTACCATATGTACTTTGGCTCAAGGATCAAGCGACTAGAAAAGGTGCGGTTTCCGTTCCGACGCTACGCCGCTTATGGACCGTCAGTGATAGCTTCAAACTTCGCTGATTAAGATCCACTCGCACATCACACACTTCTCCATATGACATGGGTACACACAAGCCACACACATATAATTTTACAAGGTATTCTGTTTGTAGGTCAAAATTGAAAAGATGGAGTCCCAAGATGTCAGCTATTCAAACAGCTATCTTGATTCCTGCTCCCTGGTCAGGGGAAACCCTTTGAAGCAGCCACTTGTCGCCGGCTAGCGTGAAGCCTGTGAGGCCTACGGTGAAGCCAAGGAGGCCTTCTTCAAAAGAAAGGCTCAGCAGGAGGCACGAGAAACGGCGGGAAACAGACTGCTGGCGCGGGGGTATGGTTGGGTGCAGAGAACATGGCCGAAACGATGTGTGTAGATGACTGTTTGTGGCTGATCCCAAAGACTCATTTAACTGCCTTATAGCCAGCAAGAGGCGCTGATTTGGCTGCCGGATGGCCCTTTGGCTCAACGTGGCGCAGAGCGGGCCCAAATGGAGGCAGCATGCGTGGCATACGGCAAGGCACCACGGGGACTGCGGTCGGAATCTATGCTTGTTTTTTGAACTATGACAATTATGATGATATAATTCATTTCAATTTATATAGCCATGGGCATGGATCCAAGCCAGGGGACCCCAGTCTATCACCCTCACAGGATGGATCTAGAAACCTGTTCTTTGTTTGTGCTGGATGTCCTTCGCCCCATGTATTGTTGGTAAAATTGTAGGGGATACGTCAAATTAAATTGCCTTTCCATTGCCCGATGTGGCAACAAGCCAGGTGTTGTTTCATGGTTGATTCAACTCCTAGCGGTGTTTGACTCTGCTCCCCCATGTGATGATCGTTTCACCTCCAAGGTATGTTTGACCTCCAAAGGTCTAACTCAGTCCGATCTCCTCAAACTTTGATGCCAAAAGAAGCCTCGCCTCTTCAATCCTTTTCCGCTACCATACCCTCTCCTCACCCAGACGTTATTGTCTTGCAACATCCGTCACTGGAAGATATCTCCTCACTCATTTGTTTTTGCTCAGGGATTAGGGGATAATGGAAAAACACACTCATCACAGTGTCTGACACTCCAGCAGCGTTTCACCCACCTCCGGTTCTTTGCGTGTCCCGACTGCCAGCGGAGGCCGTGGCGTCCTTCGGACGGAGCTCCCAATGGTGGCGAGCGCTGGGGGAAGTGCGGCAGATGCGGGGAGAAGGTTTGCAAGTGACCCTTGGGAGTGTTCAGAACGCAGAACAAGGATGGGATCATGGGGAGAACCTGGGAGAAACTCAGGGATCAAGGATGGACTGCTGGTTTCTTCGTTTTGATGTGCATGTTATGAATGCTTTGCTTTAGAATTTGAGCTTCAAATATGGAAATCTTTCGTCCTTCTGGCGCAACAGTCGCCATTGATGAAGATGAGTTCCGTAGCATGGTGGAACGTGGAGATACTGTCAGGGAGTTGAAGCGATTCCTGGCAGGTCAGGTTGGATACTCAAGGTTCCAGCAAAGGCTGTGCGATCGATCTGACGAGTTGCCGGATGACATGCCTGTAAGACCACTATCGAGAGCGAACTTGTTTATTGTGGGACATTGCGAACCTGATGAAGAAATGGATAGGAGATTATATCGAGCATGTGAACATGGTCACTTGGGAGAAGTTGAAAAGCTGCTTCAATAACCCCTGAATCCTAACGGCAGATTTGCAAATACTAACAATGCACCAATTCATGCTGCTGCTGGCAGAGGACATGTGGAAATAGTGCGACTGCTGCTCGAAGCTGGAGCTGAGAAAGATGTGGTCCAGGCAGATGGGGCAACGGCTTTGCTTTATGCAGCTCAAGGAGGCCGCTTGAACATTGTGCAGTTGCTGCTGGAAGCTGGAGCTGACAAAGATGCAGTGCAGACAGTTCATGGGGCAAGGGCATTGTTGCATGCAGCTGAGAATGGCTACTCTGATGTTGCTCAATCATTGCTCAAAGCTGGAGCTGACAAAGATGTGGCTCGGGCAGATGGGGCACCGGCTTTGTTCATGGCAGCTTCGAATGGTCACTTGAGCCTTGTGCGGTTGTTGCTTGAAGCTGGAGCTGACAAGGATGCGGCAGACGAAGATCGGGCGACCGCTATGAGTGACGCGATGCAGAATGGGCACATGGATGTCGTGGACTTGCTCTCTCGCCCCATGAACAATCGTGGACAGTTTGTTTGAGTTTGGCCGCATGAATGAGGACTACGCGTTCACACAAAATGGCCCAGGCAGGAACTTTTTCGTAGCGTTGGTTGTAAAGCTCGAGGTGCAGGTGTTGCGCAACGTTAATCACCAACTTATCCTGATGGGTTTCCACACATGAGAAAGGGTGTCCGAAGTGGGCCCTGAAGTCACCCTCCCACTTAGGTGCCTGGAACATGGGCCCCAGAAAGACGACTCTCATCTACACAAAGTGGGTGTTCGGCTTCCATGATAGTCGGATTGTAGGAGGGTTGCATGTTGCTCTTTTTGGACATGGTAGATTAAACTGGAGGAAGTGGAAAGACCCTGTTCACCACTCACCTGGTGTAGCCCTGGTAGTCATCGCTTGTCCAAGGAATTTGATCATCCTCAACTCTGCCATCAGTGCATGCGAGAAGGGGCGACGATGGTCGATGGCCTGCAGATTGCCACTTGGATCACAGAAACGCAGTGAAGCAGGAGAATGTATAGGAGCCATGGTCAGCTTTCCCATGGGCTGGGCATGGATCGGGTGTACCCATCATGGTCGACTGGCATCGGTTTGTGGTCCCGTCCTTCTCTCTCCTGGAGATGATAATGATGCAAAGGGGAATTGGAGGATGTACACGTAGCGGTACACGGAAGGCACAACACAGCATGAACGAGAGTGAGAGAGAGAGAGAGCGCTGTGCAGGACAGCGTCTGTGAATTTGCAGGCAGATTAGGTCTCAATTTGCTGGGATATACAACGCAAGTCAGTCATTTCATTCATAGCTAAAGATACGTACATAAATTACATCAAGCATACAAGCACTTGGTGTTCATTTGACTGCGGAACAAGTGCATCAACATGATGTTCAAGATTGCCAGTCAACCCCCACTGCAAATTAGTGGATACTTTATAAGAGCATGAGCAAGGAACCGGATCAACATACCGAAGCGGCTTCACGGCTACTGGTAAAACAAAGGCACTCAGGCAAAAGAATTTGTCCAGACCTTCATGCTTCAGGCCAATTAACTCTACACTCGAGCCGTCTTGCAAGAAGTCAACACGGACACTTGAGCTGTTATATAACTAATTTAATGTTGAAACAACATTTGCACAGGGACCATACGATCAAAGCAAAACATAATGTTAATGTTCATGTCCTATGATTAGTCTGGGGCGATTCCACCACAGTTTGGTCATTGAGGACATGAGGCCACATAGAGGTGAGTGAGGGACATGAGGACATGTTCGCTTGTGATCAAGCCACTGCAACATGGAGGCCAGGATTCATGGCCGAGGCATGTTGGCCTGGACATGTGCCTCCCATCGCAATGCGGCCACAAACAAGGTCACCATGCATGTGGTTTCTGGACGACAATCAAAAGAAAGCCAGACTTCGTCATACCAAGTGATTGCAATGTTATGGTCAGAAACCTGGAGCCTTGACACTCAACTGATGCCAGATCGGCCCCTTTCGTATTCAACTTTCAACGTCTAAGGAAAGTGACCGGCACCCCTGGTGAAGTGACAGAGCACAAGAGACAGAGAGGCACGAACATAAAAAAGAGACCCCAAAAGAGACCCCAAGAATTCTGCACAATGTAGACTTGTTTTATTGAGAAACACCTTGCGACCCCCTTCCAGAATGGTTTTACATCTCCCTTTCTGGGGTTTTATGAATCAGCACTCTACAAGTCACTCTACATTAATGATACACCAAGCAGAGAAAAAACGCTTGTGGGTGTTCAGATTTGGGAGCCCTCCTTTCAGGAGTGTGAAAAAACATCCACGCGTTGTCCCGCTCCACGCAGCGTTTCCGTTTGCCCGAGGCTTTCCTTTGGTCTGGAGCTGGATGTGTTCAGCCTCAATTCTGCCATCAGCGCGGGTGGTGAATGGCAGCAGGTCCGGGATGCAGCTCAATGAAGGTTGGTGACAAGAAGCAAAGAATATATAGATTGAATAGATGACTGTTTTACCATGTTTTACTCAAATGTGAGTGGATTGGAAGAAGAAGAATCCTCAACCAATGGCTTCTCGTTTCTTTTTCCCATGGATCCTTGGGTTGCCTCTCTCCTACGACGCAGCCAAATGGTTCGGGTCTTCCTTCAATTGGTTCACATTGAGATGTACACAACATTCCCCACATCAATGAAAGGGTCACTTGGGTTGCCCAGTCCAATGAGGCACACCCAGATAGATCAGCGGACGGAAGATGCAGCTAGTCTGGCCATGTGCCCTTCATTCTGGAGACAGGATTGGTGGAGGGGTTAAGCAGCATGGTCGAGCTATTCTGGTTTCATTTTGCAAGCCATGGGTGAGCATTCGGTTTGTGGATTCGAAGCTTTCTCTCTCATTTCACAGGGTGTAGCATAGGAAGGGTGGACAATGAACAGGGCATTTTCTTAACAAGCGCAACGCTCAGCGGATGAAGAATTGACACACCAGCAGTTGCTGAAGATGCGAGCATGTGTCAATGCCAGGGACAAACGTTCCATGGTGAGAAATGTCTCCTGTTCTGAAGATCAAGGATAGCTGAGTATGTGGGTCTGTCCAATTGGTTCAAAGAAGCATGTTTCATGTGTCGGTTGCTTTGTCGGTTGCTTTCAAAGGCTTCCAAAAAAAGTGGAGGGTATTGGGATTCAAACAAACTTTAGCAAGGTAAAGATCCCCGTTCATGTCTATCATTCATCCTCTGGACTTTTGTGTCTATGTCCTGAAGACCACACAGATTCAATGTTCAGATTACCGTGAGGCACTTCAGCTACTTAACCGAGCAGAGGATCAAGAATTGACCGATGTCATCAGTCTCTTGGTGAGCAAAGTGGCTCCCCCAAAAGCCCCCATGGCTCACCCTGACAGCGCTTGTTGATCTTTCGATGTGGCAGACTGGTACTATATCCATGTGGCATGTGGGTAGCTGCTCGGTGAACCCAACGGCACCGTTCCTCAACGTTTGGGGACCCTAGCCACCTCAACTTCTGGGACACTGATTGGCTATGATTGGCTATGAAATCACACATGCGCGCAGTTGATCTAAACATTGCCATTTCATGCGCTTCCCAATGACACGTGGGGTTAGTCGCGTTTTCCATTTACAAGATTTTACAAGCGGATCTTTTTGGCACCCTTTGTTTGAGCCATGGCCAAATCGCAACTGAAGGCTACAATGTTGCAATGAAGGTTTGCGAGCTGCTCGGCTGGATAGGTTTTCCGCTCACTTACCATAGTAGATACGTGCCCACAAAGATGGCTGCACCCTTCGACCTTCTTCGGCTTTTGAAGAGGCTTCCACCAATTGATTTACTGTATGTTGTTGGATGCCAACCGCTTTAAACAATCAACCAAGCTAACCTTTATGACCCTGACATGCCAGCTCTTTTGGCTTAGTATGTGAGGTGGTTTGATGCTCTGCAGATATTTTCCACGTTGACTTCCTGCACTGCCAGCAGCTTCGGGGTCGCGATCAATGCGTGCGAGAAGGAGCTGCGGTCATCGGGCAGTTTTGGCTGGTCAGGTTTCATGTCGGGTTGGTTGGTCAAGTTCACTGGGACCATCTAGGACCTAAGACCATTCATCCTGGGGTAGATAGAAAAGGCTGTGAATCACTTGCTACCGGCATGGCACCAGTGACCAGATTGCAAGATCATTTACATCATCTACAATGATGTCAATGTGATTTAGGCCATGCTCAGCACTGGACGTGAATGCTTTTCAATATGGCTGCTCGGGGCAAGAAATTGTTTCGGGCAGGTCCTCCAAGAGACTAGAGACACTCACATGAACACGAGAAAGCGCCAACAGACACGCACAGTTTTGGTATTTGCAATTTTATCCAACGTCCCTTTGCACAACTCAGGGTTTGTCAAATGTGCTCAGGGACCCAAGACACAGGGAGGCCGCTGGCGTTGACCTGGGAGGCCTCTTACTGGGAGGCCGCCCTCCAGTTGATGAGTTCAATGGAGCAATCCATGCTGGAGGCCAATCTCATCATATACAACTCAGTGACTTGCAGAAGTCGCGAGTCGCGCGTCTGGTTCGTTTGGGCAGGTCGTTCGGTTCGTTTGGTCGATGAGATCCTGTGGGCCACAGCTGAGTGGAACGGATGCCGCGAATGCCGCGGACGGCGGATCCGAACCGGGGGCTGCCAGGAGAGCGCCATAGCCTCGAACTGGGTGCTGCAGTGCTGGAGTGCTGGGTGTGGTCCTACCGAGGCGATGAGCGCCGGTAGCAAGGCAGAGGAATGGCAAGAAGCTCCTGGCCTGAAGAAAGACGTCAGAGAAGCTCATAAACACGAACTATTTATCATCTTGTGGCTGGATGGGATCATTCTCTACTTACCCGACTACATGCCGTTGCGGAGGTTTGCAACGCCAACTATTCTTGGTGGTTTCAATAGACCTGTATTCGGTTCCAGTGGGTTGAAACGACCGCCGAGATTGGAACCTGTCAGAACGACCGCTCTTGGGCCGGATTTGGCGCAGATCCAATGACACCAGGGTAGGATTCCCTTGGCGCCATGACCTATGAGATGTATGAGATGAGTAGTATAGATCAAGTAGAGACCATGGCAGAAACGGATGTCTTCTTCAGTGGTCATGAAATGAGAGCACGTCACGTCGGGTTTTGCAAAGTATCCACCGACTCCTGGAGAATGATCAGACGAGTGAGAAACCGAGCCTCTTTCTTGTTGCCGACATCTCGGGAGAGAGGACACCCTTCCTCAGGTGCGATCCACCAATGGCCAATCATCAGGTGCTCCTTGCGCACGAATTCATATTATGAGTTCTTTAGGCTCTTTTGGCTTATCAACGCCACGAAGCCGTATATAGGTATAGGTGGTACCTAGTGGCAGTATGTGGCAGTCAGATCCCGCCATGTGAGGTTTTGCAGCTGATGGAAGATATGTGTGAAAGAAGCATTGAGGCCTGATTGGCTGGGCAGCTGATCTGGAAGTGTCATGTTGATATAGAAGGTGGGTGGTGGTTTGGAGCATTTGGTTCCATCTCGATGTAAACTTGGGTTTGTCCCATTCTTTCTTTAGCAACACAAAACACAGGATATTGACAGCTGCGGAACCGTGGGATAATTACAAAATTAGTGAACAGTATTTAGACCGGGGAGACCCAATTCTGCATGGTGATAGTGGTAGAGCTGATAGATTTGAGAGGGGCTCAAAATGCATGTTTGCACCCAAAGGGAAACCTGGACCTTGTCTGGTGAACATGGATTCACACTTCTTGTCCAGTCCCAGTTTGCAGACAAACCATGATCATCATCATCATCATCATCATCATCCACTGTTGCTCCCTCCTTTTGGCTGATCAGTTTGTTTGTGACATAGCTCGTCTTGGCCACCCTCCCAACATCGCAATACAAATCCACCAGTGAGTGTTGCAGATGAATGTTTTTAGACACGCGGTTTAGACCTGTTGAATACTATGCTAGTTTCAAGGAGCTAGGTATGTCCTTCAGTTCCAACAAAAGCAAGGCCGAAAAAATGGAGAAGACCCAACCTAGCCAGCGGCCTGGGCCCCAAGCACCACTTCATAGAAGTTCACATTCCATGACCAGGCGGATGTCATCACTTACAACTGCCTCATCGCTGCTCTTGGATGGCCAAGTGCGCTGCAGCTCATGCAGGCGACGGGGTGGAAGATCTGTCCGGTTTGTGGAAGATCGGCACCCATCGGGTTCAGCAAGACTCAACAAGACTGAACAGAGCAAGGCAGAGGATTCAGCTGTTCAGAAGAGAGGATTCCTTGCCATAAGAGAGGAGTCAGCAAGGCGGAAGAGAGTTGTGGCGGCATTTGCCAAAGATTCAGCAAGATAATAAACATCATAATACACACCATACACACCCACAGGAGTCATCAGTTGTGGCAACGAGCATTCCAAAATCCTTATCCCCTCATGATGTTCCGTACCGACGGTAGAAATCGTGTGCTCCAATCAGAAGCCAGAAGCCTTCATGTTTCTCCTCGCAATGTCCGATTCCATACACCATTAGACAAACAAAGAAGCTATTAGAAACAAGTGCATCGCTACTAGTAACAAGTGCCTTACTAGTAGTAACAAGAAGCTACTAGGAACAAGTGCATCGCTACTAGTAACAAGTGCCTTACTACCCGCCCCCAGGCTAAGCCCCCCCCCGCTGGTGTCGGAGCGGTGGTGCGGAACCGGTGCCCATGGTGCGAGGAGATGAAAGGGCAAACGGTGCAGAGCACCCTGGTCACCTACAGTGCAGCGATCTCTTCGTGCCAAAGCAGGCGGCGGATGTTGCATGAATATGCATATCATAAACTGCTGGAATATCTAGAATCGATTGTACCCTTGTTTAGAAGATGGTTTATAGATGTGTATAGTCTTTAGTTGGGCGTTTGACGTAAGGTAAGAGAATGACCTAGAGAAGCGCTTGGAACCTGTTTCTGCTGTGAGCTTGTGAATGTTTTGAACACGAAGCGGTCAGTCCCAGGTGGCAATGGGCTTTGCAGCTCTTGGACGACCTCCACGTCCAATCACTTCAAGGACAGATCATCCTTGGCCCTCAAAGTGCAGGTTCATAGGAAGTGACGGACATGTTGAATATCTTGAAGATTCTTGAATTCTTAGTTCAAATCCTGCGATATAAGGATAGCCTGAGATCCCAGGGAAGTCCACTTGAAAACCGCATAACTAACCGTCAATCGTTGATCTGAGATGAAGCAAACAGTTGTCTAGTCTCCATTCTGTTCATGTGCTGTTTTACAGACAGCAGAATCTCAGAAGGCTTCAAGTCTTTTGCAGGTATCACTTCCAGCCATGCCTGGGCAGGAAATGCCATTGTTTACAGTGCAGCCATTGGAGCTTGTGAAGAAGGGAGGCAATGGCAGAAGGCCAGGCATCAGGTCCATCCCTTCTCTCAGTTCAGCATCCACGTTTCGGCTTCTCAGTAGTGCAGCGAGCTTTCTTGGAGTTTTGGAGCGAAGTTCTCCTTGGAAAACACCAAAAAAGGCGGATGTTGGTGAAGGTGGGATTTGAGAATTGCAACACTGCCGGAGAGCTGACTCCACCATTCTAGCCAGGCTGAAAAATGCCATGAACAAAGTGGAGGTCAACCTGTGTCGTAGGGAATGCCAGACCCTCCACGATGAACTGGTCAACAGGGACCTGGACCAGCACACTTTTGACACACAAGCGCAAGAGTTCTGATCGCCAAGAAACCAAGCAACTCTAGGACTCACATGTTACAAAGTGAGAAACCCCAAGTTTGGCCAGTTTGTCAAAACAAATCCGAGTCTAATCGTTTGCCCAAATGAAGCCTTAGAAATTGTGGAGAATCCTTCAGCTGGCTGGATATACAATACTCAATGGGGTCCTACCCCTTAACCCCGGCCATTGTCCGGGGGGTACATCAAAGTTTCAGGCCTTACTACTTTTGTGGCAGCTGGGCTTTGCAGCGGACCTTGTCGCCTACAATGCCACGCTGTCGACGCTGGCGCGCTGCGGCCAGTGGACCCGAGCGTTGGATCTCTTGTGGTCAAGGAGCGGCGTCCAGGTTCGCACACGACTCGTTGGTGTCAGAGCATGGATGTCTCCCATTGGAGAAGGTGGAATGTCGCGCCAGTTAGATGAGAATGATGGATCATGGAGGGAGTCTTTGACCCTTAAACACCAGTTCCCTGGACACTTGCTTGAGTTCTTGAGGTCCAGGAGTTGAAGATGAGAGTGTGAGTTGAGCAAAGACAAGGGGTTCCAAGGTCTTGTTTGGATGCACTCGGCCTCTTCACAACAAGCAAAACCATATAAATCTCAACTTTGGTCGCTGGAATCAAAGTTGACGGTTCATTTGGGTCACGGAAGAAGGTGGACATCAAATTGATTTGATACTTCATATTCAGTCAACACCCAAAAGCCCTTAAGGATGGCCTTTGTGCACCGTGCACCCCACACTTTCTCCGTACTGGTCACATGAGACGACCCACAGTTTTGCCTTGTAAAGAGGCAAGAATTGTAAGAATAGATCAGATGAACACCTAGTGGTGGGGGAGGCTGAAAACACATTCCACGTTGTTTGGCGTGGCGGGTAGGGGGGGAAAGGACGGACCTGACCTGAACTCCTGGTTTCAATGACAGATCCCCTATCAACAACCAGTGGCTAAGTAGGGGGAATGTACGAAACCAAGTGGTTGAGACGTTTCCAGTTGCAGGATCTCTCACCCAGATGTCTTCAGCTTTAACTCTGCCTTGAGCGCGTGTGAGGCAGGGCGGTGGAGAGGGAATCTCAAGAAGGAACCTTTGGGCTCTAGACTCTAGCAGAGGTGCCTCGCTTACGAGTCTATGTTAAAGGAGATAAGCTCATAGGTTCGAGTTGCGAGCCATGTAATTCTGAACAGGAGGGAGACATGTTGTTGGATGCATTCCCCATGGACACTTGGCCGCTTAGAAAGAACTATATAGGGGCCGATGGTGCCAGCCCAACAGGCGTCAAAGGATCACTGACCGTTGTTTGGTCACGATGACACAATGAGCCACTTGGGCTGTTGTGCACTTGTATTGACTGTCCTAGTGACTGTCCCTTCTATGATGAAACAGCTTCCTGTGCAAAATCCGGAAACAATGGCTTGACCATGGATGCAGAAAGTCAAGCTGGGTGATATATAGTAAAACATGGATCGAGGTGGGTCGTGATGATGACAAAACTTCGCTGTTTCTGTCTCAAACAAGATGGAGCCCACAAACCCGAATGCAAACACGTTCGAAAAGCTACATATGTCCAAATGACACTCTTGTAGGACACTCCTGTAGGACACTCTTGTGGGACACTCCTGTGGGACACTCATTTGGGACACTCTTGCGGGACACTCCTGTGGGACACTCTTGTAGGACACTCTTGTTGGACACTGTTGCGGGACACTCTTGTGGGACACTCTTAAGGGACACTCTTGTGAGACACTCTTGCGGGACACTGTTGCGGGACACTCTTGTAGGACACTCTTGTGGGATACTGTTGCGGGACACTCTTGTGGGACACTCTTAAGGGACACTCTTGTGAGACACTCTTGCGGGACACTCTTGCGGGACACTCTTGTAGGACACTCTTGTGGGATACTCTTGTGGGACACT